CTCTGTCGCGAGCCGGTTGGGTTGGCGGCGGCGGCGGCGGCGAGTCAATCGGGTGCCAAGCGACAACGAGGTGGTGGTGGCGGCGGCAGTAATAGTTCCGGTCGTCGGCCCGATCCTCCGCCTGGCGATGTCCCTTGGCCCGAGGTGCGGGCCCCAACCTAAGCAGGCAGCAAGTCAGCCCGCCCTCTCTCGCTTGCTTGCTTGCTTACTTGCTCGCTCGTGCTTCTTCCTTCCTTTTCTCCCCTCCTCCTCCTTCGCCGCTGCCGCTACAGCCACGGCCGACTCCCCCTCCTCTCTCTTCGCCGGAAATGCCCAGGGCAACGTCCGCAGTTGTACCGGGATCAGGCTGTGCTTTTTCCTTCCCCTCTCCGTCTCCTCAACCCTCCGTTTTCGGCCAACGCCATCGGGGCGCCTCCGAAACGGGCCCCAGAGGAGACGCACCACCTCTTCCTCCGCCTCCTCTTCCTCTCCTCCTCCTCTTCCTCCTCCTCCTGCTGATTCCGGGAACCCCCGGCGTGGGGGGCGGGTAGGTGGGCATTTGGGGCAAAGCGCCTTCCCTCCCGTAAAAAGAGAGTACGATTCCCAGGTGAGCAGTGCTCCGCACTGCGTGCTTCCTCCTTGCCCTATAAATTCCTGCTTAGCTGCTTTCCACCATCCTCCTGCTCCCTTTCCTTTCTTTGGCGGGGCGGGGGCGGGCGGGAAGGAGTTAAGTTATTGTCTGGGAGGGGGACAAAGCAGCTCTGTCCTGTGCGCCTCAAGAGTCTTCTCCCTCGTGGTCTTCCGTCCCGCACTTAAGTGTGTGTGTGTCTTTTCAGAGCCGCCTCATACTGAGCGAAAATGCATCGTACCACTCGCATCAAAATCACCGAGCTAAACCCCCATCTCATGTGCGTGATCTGCGGAGGGTACTTCATTGATGCAACCACCATCATCGAGTGCCTGCACTCTTGTAAGTATGGCCTGGCTGCATCTCACCTGGCCTTTGCTGCTCTCCAAGCCCAGAGGAAGGGGTGTTCTGCTAACCTTGTCGGTACTGGTTGCCAATGGCTCTCTTAAGTTTTGGTGAAACCCTTTGCACCTTTGTCAAGAGTTTGCCCCATATTTTTTTACTGCCGAGGTCTATGGGCAACTTTTATTCAGTTGTTGGGTTATAAAAGGGTTGGCCTGAGCACCTCTGAATAGTAAAAGATAAGGAAGTTTGTTGAAATCTTGATTTGCATTTATATTACATATATCTTCATATGTTGTTCTTATAGTCTGCAAGACGTGTATTGTGCACTACTTGGAGACGAGCAAGTATTGCCCTATTTGTGATGTCCAAGTTCATAAAACCAGGCCACTTCTGAATATAAGGTAGGGAAGAGACAACTGAATATCCCCTTTTCACATCCTGTTGTCATTAGGTGTTTTGCAGTGTTTGTGCCAGTTTGTATGTCAACTCTTTATTGCAAATTGGAATCTTAAAAGACATATCAGTTTACAAATGGAAGTTCATGTGAGAGCTTTGGGCCTGATACTTCTGTCTCTAGCTACAATTCTGTGCCTGTGTCACTTGTGCATGCTTGTTTCCTTTTTTCCCTAGCCAAATTAAAAGTTATTAGTTATGTTCTTTGCTGTATTTCTTGCCAGTCTGTGTATTCCCAGAGTTATTCCAGTGCAGGATTTGATATCTCTGTATAGCAAATGTTGATGAAAAAGCAAAACCTAAATTCTTTCCAAAATTCTCTTTTTTAGCTATATACTTTCTTCTGGTGATGCTTTGTTAGCTGTATAGGTGCTAGACAGTATAGTTTGGGGCCAGATAATTTTTTTGGTAGGTGGATAAAAATCTTTGCTTTCATTTTTCTCTTACTGCATACAGTAAAATGCAAAACTTTTGTAAAAACTATTTAAAATCTTGACTAGACATTTTGGTAGAAGAGGTTTTGAAGCCTTGGAAAGTGTGAGGTGTAAGTTGGCTATGAATATTGCCCCAACTGTTAGTGTCTTGAAATTTTGTATTTCAGATCTGATAAAACTCTCCAAGACATTGTGTACAAATTAGTACCAGGCCTTTTCAAAAGTAAGTAGGGAGTTTAATCAAACAACTACCATTCTAAGTTCAACAATGCATTAAATCAGACTAAACTAAGTGATAAATATGTATTCTCACTTAGATGAAATGAAAAGGAGAAGAGACTTTTATGCTGCTCATCCTTCTGCTGATGGTAAAAGCTTCCAGTTTATTCTTTGATAGACTTTAAACTTTAAACTGTTGTCTTACTCAGAAGTTAGGTTGCTAAAACATATAGATTTCCATAATAATGTACTGCAAAATTCATTACTTTTTTTATACATGCTAACAGCAATTTCTGTATTTTTAAAAAATCAGCTTCCTCCTTTTTAAATTAAGTTTTGTTCTCATGCTTCCTGATTTGACTATTAAAATATATGTTACTGTGGGCATTTTTGTGCAGCTGCCAATGGCTCTAATGAAGACAGGGGAGAAGTTGCAGATGAAGATAAAAGAATTATAACAGATGATGAAATAATAAGTTTGTCCATTGAGTTCTTTGACCAAAATAGGCAAGTTGGAAAAGCAATATTTTACTTTTCTCTTTATATTTAATACATAATGGTTCCTTTTAATAATTATTTAACTCCTCTTCCCAGACTTGAACGGAAAGGAAATAAAGAGAAAGAGAAATCCAAAGAGGAGGTAAATAGACATCTTTCTTTGAGACAGCAATCCTGTACTGTATTCAGAAAATAAAACAGTTATTTTGCAGGGTCCGTTAGATTAATAATTTTCAAGGCCTGCTTAGATTAAAAGTTATTTTTATTTGCCAAACTAAATTAACAGCAGAGAAAGTAGTTATACAGACAGATATAGTATAGTCTTGGCAACTAATATTAATGATTCAAGCAGCTCTTAGCAGTGCACAGCCTGTTTTTATTTTGCCTTCCCTAAATATATTATTCACACTAGGAAATTCGTCATTTGCAATAATTAAACCCTGGAAAATAGCTAGTAAGCACATTTCATTTTTCAGTTCTCTTTGTTTAAAAGTCTGTATCTAGGCTGTTTGGTTCATCAATGAACATCTAGTTTTGCTGCATTAAAATCTTTATATGTTTTTAACTATACCTTATCTACCTTAGAGTTTTTTAACTGTATGCATACTTTGTTAAATGAAATGCCCCAACAGGTGAATGACAAAAGATACTTACGCTGCCCTGCAGCAATGACTGTTATGCACTTGCGAAAATTTCTTCGGAGCAAGATGGACATACCCAATACTTTCCAGGTACTTTTGCCTTGCTGAGAAAGGTTGTAATAACACGTGGGCCCTTATTTAACTGAAAGGTTCCGGTCTTTGTTTTTCTCAAGCACATGGAACATGCAACATTGTAACCAAGTATGCTTCAGTTTATATATAATATGATCTATCTGTTTTCAGAAATGAGGAGCATGAGAAAAGTATCCTCTTACTTTGAGCTGTCAGATCCCTCCTTGTTGAAGATCATAGTTAACTGTCTGTTTTAGGTGTTAAAAGTTTGAGATTGTTTTGGGGTTAAATGTTTGAAGTCTTTTTCATGTTAAGATTGTTCAATAGCCTTTCCTAATGGTTTTTTTGATTCTGGGTTTGAAAAAACAACAACACCAATACCTTGAATAAAAGACCCAAGCTATCTGGATTTTTAAAAGTGTCAATCAGCAATCTACTGAAGTCTACACTTCTCAGAAGAGAAAGGACTACCAAAAAGTGCATTTAGGATGGGATAAAAGGTTATCTACTTGGACTTAAAACTGAACTTACCTCATCTGAGTCAGTGATTTGGAAACACAACACCCCTCTGTTTCAACTCATGGGGTTGGGCTGTGGATAATGTGTAAATGATGCCGATTCCTGGCCCCTAGTCCTGCTTTTCAAGTATTTACACCCAGCCTTTTTGTTTCTTCACCAGATTGATGTCATGTATGAAGAGGAGCCCTTGAAGGACTATTACACTCTCATGGATATTGCTCATATTTACACCTGGAGACGGGTAAATATGTGGAATGACCTGGAAAGTCTCTTTCTGTAACCTTGGGTGAGATGAGCCAAAGAAGGGCAGTGGAACAGGCGAGGAAAAAAAGGGGTGCTCATATTGTATTCTTCTGGTGTTTCCTTTGCAGAATGGCCCCCTCCCTTTGAAGTACCGGGTACGACCAACTTGCAAAAGGATGAAGATTGGCGGGCACCAGCGAGATGGCTTAAACAATAGCGGAGACCTGGAAAGTGACTCTGGGAGTGAGAAGGCCAGCAGCCCTGCTGGAGGCACTGCTTCCACTTCATCTTGTTTGCTCAGCCCCAGCACACCAGTGCAGTCTCCACACCCCCAATTCCCCCATATCTCCAGCACTATGAACGGAACCGGTGGCAGTCCCAATAGTAACCACCACTCATCCTTCACCAGCAGAGCCCGCAAAGCCTCCATAAATGGCTCCTCTGCGACTTCCTCTGGCTGACAGATGGCATAATCTCTCCTGGACTTGAAAGTCCCACCATTTCTCTACCGTTCTCTTTCCTGTTCTTCTGTCTCTTTTTGCTCCATGCCATTAAGCTTTATAGATGCTAATCCTATTCGTGATTATCGTCCGAATTGCTTTAAAGAAAAGACTTTCCAGAGACACTTTGGATATTAAAACAATGGGACTTGTGGAATGAACATGGATATTAAGACTGTGGGACTTTGGGAATGAACATTTCATATGGAACTGAAAAAATATCAAGCTGTTTCTTAAGGACTAGCAACGTGAAGCAAGGTATATACCCTGATAGACTGGGGAAGAAGAGGGGTGTTTTTCTGTTAGTCACCCTCAATCTATTTCCTGGTTTGGACTCGGGATTGTCCAGAAACATATCAATAATGGGATATAGTTTTGCTAATCAAGACTAACTTCCTTCATTTACACTATCTTGGATTGTTAACAATTATTTCACTGTGTTGTGAACTTTTAGGAAAGAAAGCAAGTAGAAGGCAAGTGGATTTTCCTTTCTCACCTTGAGATTTGTCAACACAACCAGATTAAATATGCATAGGACTATGCATATAGAAGCCATGCCACTGTGAATAACAAATTTTTTTGCTTTATTTGCAATTCTGATTTTTTTTCCTGGTGCATTCATAACTACTCCACTGCAGTGCAGAGGGATATAAAGATGGGAAGAGGAAGGTGGGATGACAGAAGAGCAGGGAAAAATACATGTACACTTTTTACAACATGTATATCTGGAAGCGGGTTTTACCGTCTAGTTTAAAGAAACAGAGAAAACCTTTTTTGTAAGAATCAGATGGCATTTTTCAATGTTTCTTTAGGAATGCCATATTGGTATATGATGAAACAGGAGGCAGTATTGTATGATATATTTATAAATACTATAAAGGAAATCTACATGTTTTACACACTTGATGGTCAAATTTCCAGGTTGGTTCAACCCTTGCAGGTGCCTATTGCTAGGATCCTTTTTTAGGTAGCAACTATCAGCTGATTTTTCCCCCCAGTAAAGGCTGTAGGGTTGAAGAAGCTCAACTCTCCATTAACTCAGAAGCAGTTGGCAGTCTCGAAGGAATTTTGCCAGCTTTGCCTTCTTCCCATGTAGTATATTATTTTTTACTTTTACACAGTGTGATTGTTTTAATAAAACAGGGTGGGTGGGGGAGGGGACTGGAGTTGTAGACAATGGAGGAACAGAGCTGCAATTAGACTCTTTCATTTGTTTTATTATTTGGTGTGATGGATTTGTGGGCTTTTTTCCCTTTAAAAAAAAGCACAGGAAATCATATAAGAAGCCATAAAATATGCAGAAGCCTCTTTCACTCATTCTTAACAAATCAATAAGCCAATGGATGAAGGTTTTTAATCAAAATTTGTTTTAATATATATGTATGTATGTATATGGTACAATACTAACTTGGTTAAAGATTAATAGGTACTTTGGTATCTTCAATAAGCTGTGGGGAGTCCCTTCTGCAAAACAGGCTTCTGAGGGCACATCAAGTTTGAAAAAAGAAGGAAGCTGTTTAGAAATGTCAGTGCCCTTAAGAGCCCCCAATACTTTTCAGTTTGTGCTTTGCTTTGGTCAAACTTTGTGTGTGTGTGTGTGCGTGTGTTATTCTTCACTCATCAGTTACACATTTGTGAGGTTGTCTGTCCTATATGAGGATTGTTTCATGTTTGTATGGGAAAACTTTAGCTGAATATTTCATTGTCTCCAGTCTGCAAAAGAAGCACAAATCTATTGCTTTGTCTTGCTTACAGTCATTAAATCATTACTTTTGCATAAACTTTGTTGCTGCTTCTTGTAGCATTCTAACCAGTGATTAGGTTTCTTATTGATTTTTTTGAAGTATAAAGTTCTGCTTATAGCAAAACAGAAACAACTCAGATTGTGAAACCAAAACTAGAAAAGCACCCCTTAAAAATATTGAACTTACTGCTAAGGTTGCAATCAGAAACATTTCTGAGATAGAAGGCCAACTGAGAACAAGGACTTAACCTGCCTATACAGTAAAAGTAGTTTGGATTGGACTGCAAACAATTAGACTCTGGGTGGCAGGTAATCAAAGGATTGCTTAGGTTAATGGAATGTACTTAGAAGTCATATTCTTTATGTCCACATCTATACATACCCACTTGAAAGTATGTCCAAGGAATGGGGCCTTCTCCCAGGGAAAAGCAGAAAGGACAGCAGTCTTAAAGACAGGCATGATTGTATGCTTTAAGTTCTACTTAAATAAGTGGAGTTTTAGGTAGTCAGTTAATATTTATATATGGCTGATAAAAAGAAGAGAAACTGATTATTAAAAGAAAAGGAAAAATTGTAGTTGCCAGCGATGGTGTAAAATAAAATTCAAGGCAGTTAAGTATCTCTCTTGTATCAGACTTCTGGGTTCAAAGCACACCCACCTCCATTGTTCCTTGGCTGTATGTTCCTAGATCAAGTGCTTAGTAAATTACCTCCCCGAATGGGGTATCTAAATATATAGTTGAGTAGTCTCTGTATAAACTGTGTGCTTTATTGGTAGCATGAAAGGAATTAATTCTGACATGTCATAATAAAACTCCTATTTTGGATTACTTCTGGGGAAAAATCCTCAGAGGGCTACTTTTTAAAAGAGGGGGGGAACAGCGTAAACAGAACTTATATGTGTAAGGGGACTGCATGTTTCACCAATCTTCCTCCAACTATTAAAAAAGTATACATGAAATATTTCACACGAAGGCCAACACTGAACCCCAAACTCAGGAGTGCATATAAATCTCATTTAAAAAAATACAGAACTCTCTTTGGATCTCATTCAAAAAACACAGAACTTTAACATTGAAAAACTGGACTGATGCTGGCATTTATAGTCTCTGCATGAAAATAAGTGTGGTGAATGGCATCCACGTGATAACCACCTTAAGCAGAAAACAGGTGTCTTTCATTCTGTGGCATTCCTTTCACCCACCCACGCGCTCGAATGGGTTTAGGATCGTAGCCAGAAAAATATATCCTTGAACTGGTGCGGTGGAACATGTTCTCTTCTCAGCGAGTCCATCTAAGTCTTAGATTCTAAGACGGCCATTCCTTTTAAGAGTTATCTTTGCCAACGGCCTGCCCTAGAGAAGAGGAGACTGCTAGGAAAATGCTGGTGACGACTTCTGCCCTGGTCCTAGAAGCATCAAGGTGGATTTCAAGTCCTATTAACATAGATGGAATTTGCTTTGTTAATCTTGCTAAGGCCAGCGCTCTTTGTAGATAAAGGAACAGAGGATCGATCGTAGTTAGCGCTGTATGCATCATTTTACAGGGACCTCCTAGAGAAGAAGACTACATGGGCGGACGTCCCGTGGATCAACGAGACTTACTCCCCGTTAAGTGAATATATGATACGGCCGCCTGATAGTGCAACCCAATACTACTTCCACTGGGTTTAGGATTAGCACCCAGGTTAAGGGTATCTGTAGGACTGCACCCGTAAACCTCATTGCAGACTTGAGCACAAAGCGTTGCATTATTCGGATCAATACTTCTAGTTGAAGGAAGGGTCAGGAGATGAATACAGTGGCGCTGCCCCTCCGCTCCGGTTGGAATCCGCCTTGTC